TTCGGCCTCTATTTGCAACTTCCGATCCGTAACTCAGGAAAGCGACTCAAAGATTGTCGGTCGACAAAAGGAACTGATAACTGAACTGATAACTGAACTGATAACTGAACTGATCTGGTGATGACAACAACACTTCCATAAACCTCACCGTTGCGTAGCTTCTTCAAAAAGGACTAGACTAATCACTGCCCCCTGTGGCCGATGGTGGGACAACACCAACAGCAATGAGAAACTCTTCCACTAGGTGGTGGCCACGCACCACGCTCATGCTTCTTCCGTCTCTTTTGTCTTTCACTTCATCCTACTCCAGCTTTCACTTGTTACTCTATGCACTTCTTGCTCATTGCACGATAAAGCCGAAGCACAAGAGGTCAGAATGAAATGGTCTACACACTCACCTCAGCTTGGGAGGAAAGTCATCTCTGACTACTGAGCTTTATAACTCAAGCAGCTACAGTTATTACGGCACAACAACGAGGGATTCAAGGTAACGTTACAGACCGTTAAAGGACACTTGGAGCAGAGACTTCCTGGCAGTAAGTTACCAACGCTTTATGTAATCATCACTGTATTGTTTTATTGTGTATAAACCATAGTTCCTAAGTACAGTTAACTTACGGTACCCTCAGTGCCATTACCATAGAAAAGGATAAAGTTAGCCAGGTTAAGTTCTGACTGTAAGTGAATGACAGAGTTAGTTTGAATTCCAAATAGTTAGTGAATAACACTTTAATTCCTTCTGAAGACTAACAAAGTAACGCAGCTTACTGTATTGAGCATTAAACATATGTTGCTTTATTGTCTCTCATGAGTGAAGTACAGCGTGAGTACTTATACTGTACAAAAGGATAATGGCTCTTTAGTGCTGAAGCAGTGCTACTACAGTATGCACAGTTAGACTATAAACCAAAAACCCCAGTGTGGTGACTGGTGTACCTTACTATGAGCAGAAGAGCAACATGTCCAGTCCTCCTCTTCTTCTAATCCTCTTCTATTTGTCTCTATATCTCTGTCAGATTCAGCATGGCAGCCAGAGACACAATGAGACGTAATAAAACTGCCATTCAGATGACTTTGTCTGCAGACCGCATACTAATCCTCAACAAAGTTCATGAGAAGGACCTGATAACAAGACGGGAGTACATCAACCTTAAAAGCATCAACAAAGAGGACGTAGAGGGTCACGTCATTGAGCTTGTGGATAAGATCATGAATAAAGGAGAGGACACCTGCCAAGCCTTCCTCGACCTCCTGCAAACTGATGAGGACATTAAAACCACTTACCCTGAACTGCAGAGCCTACAGTTGAACAACATTAGCTTCTTACCTAAACCTGTCCAAGCTTGTTCAGTTGACAACAGCGGTATGTTAACAGATGTCATTTTGGTGAAAAAGATTACTGTGTCTAGTATTCCTCATATACCAGCCTACAGTCTAGTTTCCCACGAGGTTGAGTTTTGTGTTTGGAGGTGTAAATCTGTTTCACTCTGATTTCCTCAGATGTCCTGTCACAAGAGAGCAAGAGGCGAAAGAAGGTGAGGTCTTTACTTCATATTGTAACAGCACACTATGTGATTTTAGTTAGGCTTTGTTAAAGAGACACAACAAGAGGGTTTTAAACCTTTTACCTCAAAGTCTGCACACATGCTTATTAGCCTGTATTTACATATAGAACATTTGCTTTGTAAGACTGTAATATGTAATGAAATTAAAACTAGTAAAGAAAAGTAAAGTTGTGCTGTGTTAGTAAAAGTGTTGGAGCATAAAATATTGAAATGCATGTTTTCATTGTTTCCAGGACGAGCAGTACCAGTTGAACAGCCAGCCTACCGGCCTCTGTGTGATCATAAACAACCAAAATTTCACGCATATGAAACAGAGAAGTGGAACCTACAGAGATGCTCGTATGTTACAGAGCAGGCAGGTTTACAGATTTACCTGATTGTCTTGTTTGTTGGTGGTTGAAACGTAACTGAGTTTTGTTACATTTCCCGCAGAAAGTTTGGCAGAGGTTTTCAGCGAGCTGGGGTTCAGAGTGCTGATGTGTGAAGATCAAACCAAAGACCAGATGGATCAGGCACTGAGTTACTTTGCTTCTCTGAGTGACCTCTCTGAGCTGCAGGAGTTCAGGGTCAAGGAGTGGTCCGGCAACGGATTCACTGATCTTCAGGAGGCTCCTAAACATGGGGACGCCTTCATCTGCTGTATTCTCAGTCACGGAAAAAAGGGTGTAGTCTTAGGGGTTGATGGGAATCCCCTCTCCATTAAACAAATAACGAGAACCTTCAAGGCAACCGACCAATCGGCCCTCACCGGCAAGCCCAAGGTGTTCCTGATCCAGGCCTGTCAGGGAGCGCCGATTCAGAAGGGAGTGTTACTAGAAGATCTGCAGGCTGATGATTCTGATTCACAATTCATCCCTGAGGAAGCCGATGTTCTGGTAGCCATTGCCACTGTTGAAGACTATGCGGCATTTAGACACACAATGAATGGGAGCTGGTTTGTCCAATCTGTGTGTCAGCAGCTGAAGGAAGGCTGTCCGAGGTAAATATCACGCTTAGCATGCAGTGTGTACTGTACTCTGTATTGAATCATAATATAGGCGCAGTAATCTGTTTTTCAACACTATTTTATTTTAGGGGTGACGACATGACCACCATCCTCCACCGTGTGAACAATGAGGTAGCCCAGAAAGAAGGGTCCAGTCAGCCGGGTGCATTTAAGCAAATGCCTGAAGTGAGGTTCACCCTGAGGAAGAGACTTGTGTTACCACATCGTAACTGAAGCTCAGTCACCAGAAATCATGTAAATACAGTATCCTTATGTCTTAATTAAGAATGTATAACTAGCTCAGGGGAAGGGTTTTTTCCTTAAAATGTACTGTATCTTTTTTATCAATCGAAATCTTTTATTTTTAAATCATCACCTCGAATCATTGTCTTTTATATTGTCACAGATTTTTGTATAAGAATAAACCCCCTTTATGATCACTGATGGGTCCATGTCCATCAGAACCTTTTACACACAGAAGCCCTGAATGCAGAATACTGGTGATATTTTTATTGCCTCCTAGACTTATATCTATCAATACATATTTTGTAGGGGAGACCAGGGCTTATTGTCACACTTTTTACACTCTTAT